GGAGGAGGAGGAGGAGGAGGAGGAGGAGAGAGGAGGGGAGGAGGAGGAGGAGGAGGATGGAGGAGGAGGAGGAGGGAGGAGGAGGAGGAGGAGGAGGAGGGGGGGGGCGAGCGGCGCTCTGGCTGTGGATGCCAATGGCACTGGGCACTCACACAGTCCTCTCCTTGCCGTGAAGGTGTGTTTAAACTGTGTAAAACATGTTCTAAACATGCTTCAGCCATGTCGACATATATATATATATATATATATATATGTGTGTGTGTGTACGTAACACGCTTGAAGCATGTTTCAGGCGTCTGGGAATTATTTGGCAGCATGCTTCCTCTCCATCAGTCGGCTTCCACAGCGATGGAGCCTCCGTCAGACAGGCGCGCTCCACTACTTAACCCGCATTCAACGCTGAACGCCGGCGGCGGGGTCGCCGCCAGTCGACACGGCGCGAACCCACCGTACTCGCAAAAGGGCCTGGATCCACCGAGGAGAGTCTACGATAAATCCGATCGAAGCAGACATGTATATTCTTCTGACGAGTAATGGAACGCGCTCGGTGATTTGTTATTAGGCAAGTTTGCGGAATCCGTTTTTTTTACGTAAAGCCCATGAAGAGTCCTCGTCGCCACCGCCGGGTTCGCCTCGAGATCTGGGTCAGAATGCACCCCAGGAGGGGTCCGCGGAGTTAGCGGTATGAGCCTATGCTTTGAAAGATTCAGGCAAGTTTACTCGCATGGCGTTCGCCTCCTCTCCCCCCCCCTCGCCCCTCTGCAAACGAGCACTGGCGTGCAAGGGCCTTTCGACTTGCGCGGTTCCCGCACGTGCAAATCCGTTGCGGCTTGCTTCAGGTTCAGGCCCCCCCAAGGACATGCAAGTAAGTCTGCCGGAGTCTAAAACCAAAACGAACTCTTTGGCGATGCCCCTCCTCGATGACCTCCTGATCTAATCCGAAGAGCACGTGATCCTGCATTTCAGTTCTGTCTCCCTCCAGAAGAGTTTTCCTCCTCCTCCTCCTCCTCCTCCTCATCCTCCTCTTCCTCCTCCTCCGCCTTCTTGCTCCTCCCCCCCTCCTCTCCTACTTCCCCTCCTCCCCCTCCCCCTCCCCCTCCCTCCCCCCTGTCGCGCGCAGCCTGGCCGCGAAGGGCTTCGAGGGGTACGGTCATCGTGCTACCAGAAGGAACGCGAAATAATCGGCGGCGAGCCCGCGGGGAACGGAGACGGGGCGGGCCTTCTCAGAAGGCTGAGAAGTCCCCCCGCCTTCTGACAAATTTTCGAAGCCTTCACTGTCGACGCAGGAAACTTCTCACAAGGCGAGAGGGCTTCCGAGAAGTCCCGCCGCGTGCCGGGAAGGCCTTCCCCTTCTCACCTCCGCCCCTCGCTCGCCGCCGATCCGGGTGGTGACGTCCGAGCCCTACCTTGGCGGCGCGCAGAAGGGGGCAGGGGAAGGGGGGAAGGCTTCTGAGAAGCAGGCCGCTGCTTAGAAGGCGCTGGCCCTAAGTCTACAGAGAAGGCCCATGCCTTCAAAGAAGCGTCTCAGAGAAGCCTTCCCCCCTCCACCCAGAAGGCCTGGTGGGATCTGCAAGATAATTGTTTTATCCATGTTTCTGGGTTGCACCGTGAAGGAGCTCAAGAGGCCGACGGAATGAACGGCCACGGCCGCCCCGCGCAAGCCGCTAGCTGGCCCGGCCCCTTGCACAGACGACTCGCGCGTCGCTCGTTCGTTAGCTATCGATGCTCCTGTGTCGATGGGAGGCGGGGGTGGGGCTCGGACTTCGCCACGTGCTCGGCGAATTCCGCACGCCATACCTTAGCGGGTACCTTGACGTGCCACTGAACGGGTATAACTTTCCAGCCGCCCTGGGACAGGCGCCCCCGACAGCGAAAACGATTGTTTTACACCGTTCTTCGCCCGTTGAATACCGCCGCCGCCGCACAAGTTGCCTGAATCGTTGTGTTGGTCGGCGCGGGCAGTGTTCGGATTGCGCCGCCGAGCTGAGAGTAGGAGGAGGAGGAGGAGGAGGAGGAGGAGGCGGAGGAGGAGGAGGAGGAGGCGGAGGCAGAGGAGGAGGAGAGAGGAGGGAGAGGAAGGAGGGAGGAGGGAGGAGGAGGAGAAAGAGGAGTGAGGAGGGAGAAACTCGAGCCTGCGGTTTCTCGTGCATTTCGGCCTCTCGGGGCCCCTGCCGGGCCTCGGGGCCTGCCAGAAGTGAGCGCGGGACTCGAGGCCAGCCCCCAGGGAGGTGTGTTTTCGAGAGGTCGGGGCCCCCGTGCTTCGAACACATCGAGGCGCTGGATGCCTTGGGATGGGGTCGGAGGATCGCGACCTCGGCGACGCATCGCCGATGCATCGGCGACGCCGGCGACGCATCGGCGCCGTCGAGGTGGACGAGACTTGGGCTCCACATCGCGCCGCATCGCCGATGCGTCGGCGCTTCGGTGCGATCCTCCGATCCTGTCTGCTCGGAGCCCGCGTGGGGGGCTCGGAAGATGGCGGACTCCCTGCCGCTGGAGCAGCCGCGCTCCCTCACCTCTTGACTATTGACAGGGCACAAACATAAACTTTCGGAGCTCTGGGCAAATGTCCTGGATCGGCGCTGGACCTCCCTCCCTAGTGCGCCAGCGGCCGTGCTGGAGGGGCCTCCAGTGGGATCGCGACATCGGCGACGGTACGGTTCGGATTTAGCCTTATGTTGTTCCCATCGTGCTGAAGGACCACATCCCATGAGCAGTGTCGAGCACCCAGGGGGAGTATGGAAACAGTGTCTGCCCGGCACGCCAGCGAAGTGCCGAGCGCGTGCCGCCCTTCAGGGCCCGACGTGTGAAAGCCCTCCAGGCTCGACTCATTCTTGGCGCTCGAACTTCTTCCTGGTGGTCCAGGCTAAAGCAGGCTGGAACATCATAGCACGACGGGAGGTTCTTCGTCGTTTTCGGTGTCCGGGGCCCCCTGCTGGGCCTCGGGGCCGTCAAACCACGGCTCGGGATGAAACAGAAAGGATCCTGGGGAAGGGTCCAGGCATCTGGGGGTCGACGTTCTGACAAAAAACATGACGTCGGGGATCTGCCAGTACGGGGGAGGGGGGGAGGCTTCTGAGAAACACCCCTGCTTCTCAGAAGGCGCGGGCCTTGTCTGTAGATGGGAGGGCCAGCGCCTCCTGAGAAGCAGCCTCCTTCGAAGAAGCTTTCCCCCTTCCCCCTACCCCCTTGTGCGCGCCGCCAAGAGGTGAGCCGGAAACCCCACCTCCACCAGGAAAAGGCACTGCAGAGCCCCAGAACGTCCTGCAGAAGTAGGCTGGAGCATCCTGTAGAAATAGGTGGGAGCATCCCTTAGAAGGCGCGGGCCGTTCGGCGGTGGACAATTCGCCGGCCCAACGGGCCAGAGGCGTGCTAAGATCTCCGGTAACTGCTCAACAATATTTCTAGTTCGCGCGCGCGGGGCGGGCCCTGGGGGTCCCCGGACGAAAAGTACCCCGGCAAGGTCCCGGCAAGGTCCCAGCAAGGTCCCGGCAAGGTCCCGGCAGACTCCCGGCAAGGTCCCGGCAGACTCCCGGCAGACTCCTGGCAAGGTCCCTTGTCGGAGCCCAGGAGGGCTCCAAACGGTCCAAGAGAGGCCCGAGAAGCCCTCCAGACGGTCCAAGAGAGCCGGGAGACGCCGAATATCACTCCCAAACGCCTGCGATGGCCTCAAGACGGCCCAACAGGCCTTCAAGACGCCCCAAGAGGTCCCTAAGCGGCGCCCCAAGAGGGCTCCCACAAGCAAAAATCGTCCCATTCCCTTAGGAAAACGTGCATTTTTAACATATCCGCCTCTTCGTCTTTCACACCTTTCAAGGCGGTCCAAGAGGCCCCCAAGATCACCCCAAGACGGCCCGAGAGACCCTCAAGACCGCTCAAAGACGGCCCAAGAGCGCTCCAAGAAGGCCCAAGAAACCCTCAAGAACTCTTTTTCGGAGCCCAGGAGGGCTCCAAATCGGTCCAAGAGGGGCCCGAGAAGCCCTCCAGACGGTCCAAGAGAGCCGGGAGACGCCGAAATATCACCCCCAAGCGCCTACGATGGCCTCAAGACGGCCCAACAGGCCTTCAAGACGCCCCAAGAGGTCCCTAAGCGGCGTCCCAAGAGGGCTCCCACAAGCAAAAATCGTCTCATTCCCTTAGGAAAGCGTGCATTTTTAACATATCCGCCTCTTCGTCTTTCACACCTTTCAAGGCGGTCCAAGAGGCCCCCAAGATCACCCCAAGACGGCCCGAGAGACCCTCAAGACCGCTCAAAGACGGCCCAAGAGCGCTCCAAGAAGGCCCAAGAAACCCTCAAGACGGTCCAAGAGGCCCCAAGACGGCCCCATGATTGAGGTCCACAGGGGCAACCTGAACGGAAATTTTGAGCCTCCCGCCCAAACACGCCCCCGAAATGCCCCTACAAGCCCCCAAGTAGCCCCACGAAGCCCCCAAGAGAGCCCCAAGAGGCCCCCAACAGGTCGCAAGAAAGCCCCAAGAGGCCCCCAAGAGACCCCCTAGGAAGCTCCCAGGAGGCCCCCAAGAGGCCAGGCAGACCCCCCCAAGAGACCACCAAGAGGGCCCACCCAGAGCCGTCCACGAGGCCTCCCAAAGTTCCCAAGAAGCTCCCACGACGCTTCCAAGGGCTCCCAAGAACCCCCAAGACCCCGCGATGCCACAATACGGGCCGGCGGAATGAGCGAAGCGATTCAATAAACCTCCCTTTAGTGAAAACAGCCTAGGACCGAAACCGACGGACCTGGACCCGCAAAAACGACGGCCGCGACGCCCTCTCGCGAACCGAAAACGCCCCATTCCCTAATCGACGTGTCAGGGCAGGAGGTCTATCAACCTCCGATTCGAAGGCGCGGGCCGTGCCTGCAGAAGCAGGCTGGACCGTCCTGAGTTTGGCCGTCGATCCTCGTCCCGCCACAGCTCCCGCAGGGACTCGCAGATCCAGTCTTGCGTCCGGCGCTCGCTCGGCCGCGCCCTCCCGCCCCCCGGGGTGCTGGCGCTGGGGGTCAGCCCAGCGGCCGCCCGGAGCTCCTGCCATGGGGCACTCCAAAGGTGGGAATAAGAGGAGGAGGAGGAGGAGGAGGAGGAGGAGGAGGAGGAGGAGGAGGAGGAGGAGGAGGTCACAACCCTCCCAGACGAGCAGTTTTAGACCCCCCCCCCAGGCCAGCCATGAAAGGGCGGCCTTGTGCACAGACCCCACGGGAACCCTCCCAGACAGCTCAACGCAGCCTCCCCCCAGGTCGGACCGCCATCCTTTTGATGTGAACTCCGGAGTACCGAGAAAAGGTGGGGAGTGGCTCAGGGGGAACACATTGACCTGTGATCGGCGATGCCTCCCGACAGCGAAGCCACATGTCCATGGACGGCGTGGGCCATTGGGCCCCTGTCGGGGATGAATGGGCCGTCTGGGGGTCGATGCACCTCCCCCCCTCGAGCACGTTCCCCCCCTGACGTTAGGTCGGGCGTGTCCCCCTACAGGCAGATCTTGGACGAGAAATGGAAATTACCTAAACAAATGCTCGAAAATGGCCAAACATGGTAAACCAAAAAAAATCGTCCCCCGACTATTTTTTTACCGTTTTTGAATACTCCTCCTGTACAATTGGGGCGTTGACCTACGGAACGATAAATGCGGAACGAGGCCCGTTTTTTTCCAGAAGTGAAACGTCGATTTCCCATCGGACACCGAAGGAAAACCCGAGGCAAGCTGTATAACAACTAAGGAACACGGAGCCCCTCCCAAACGAAAAGGGTCCTTCTTCAGCGCCTCGACTGCATGGGGGATATGCCCGACTCAACCCTGACGTTGCCCCTTAGCTCCTGGGGCACCAGGTCCTTCGCGGCCGCCCCCAGCAGGATGTCGTCCACGCCGCAGTCCAGCTCCAGCTCGCAGGTGGTCGCCCGCGGGTGTGGCGAGATCCGCTGGCCTGAAGGAACAACCACGCTGAGTTCGAGTAGGTCGGCGACTATAGAACTGATCGAATCTGCTGAGAATGCGTAGAGAATGCACCGAGGATCTGCCGAGCATTGTTCCCCAGTCAGGGCTTGCACTGAAGGGGTCCTAGCGGATATTGAAAAATTTGGCGAAAATTTCCCGCCGATTTTGGTGGCCGATGGGTTCCCGGGTTCCCGGTGCCGGGTTCCCGGGTTCTTGGTTATTGGTTCCGGGCCGATTTCGGTGGGTTCTGGGTTCCCGAGTTCCCGGTCGATCAAACCATCCACTGATTGGGGTTTCTCTCTGGTGTAATACGTATTTTCGTGGATTCGACTGGAAATTCGATTTTTGGGGCTCCTCAATTCTATAGTCGATCCCCTACTCGGGGAATGCACACCAGCTTTCGGAGGTCCGCGCGAATTTTCTGGGGTCGGCGCTGGACCTGGCGACGCCTCTGGGCGCCGCTCCCGGCGCGCTTCGCGCGTCAGGGGAGAGGGGGTCCAGCGCCGATCCAAGGAAACCGCGCGAGCCTTCGACGATGTACGACTGGCGTTGGAAAGATAGCGTGCACTATCGATCTTCGGAAATCGCAGCGCAAACATGGATCAGCGATCCACGGATTTGGCGCGCGGTCGCCAGATCCATGGATCGGGGGAGGTGCCCTCCCCAAGAATGCGGCCGGTGCCGCCTCGTTCGGCGGCGGAAATCCGCGATTTCCCATGGAAACGGGAACCGTCGCTAATCCACGCCCCCTTAATTCATGTCTGCGATCGCCTGAAACATCGATCTTCGAAACGCACCCTACCCCTGTGAGGCGATCCCTTCAGCAAGGGACCTTTCTGCGCACGTCATCTGTCTGCCAGGCGCTGGCGCTGCCACAGCGCACGCTATCTTTCGCCGACGGTATGTTTATTTGAAGCCTCGCAGATGGGGTAAGAGTAGATGGGGTCGGAGGATCTCGCATCATAGTCGATGCGTCGGCGATGCATCGGCGACGGGTCGGCGATGCATCGGCGCCGTCGGCGTGGAGAACATCGGGCTCTGTATCGAGCCGCATCGACGATGCGTCGGTGATGCGGCGGGATCCTCCGACCCCATCTGCTCGGACCCCGCCTGGGAGGCCTAGATTCATCCATTGGAGGCGGCCAGGGGGGTATGGCTGGCACCCCACGAAATCGGCCAGGAGAGACTGGAGCCCAAACCGGTCAAAACTCGTCCGCGGACCCCTCCCCCGGGTCCGTCTGGCGTAGCTCCTCACCCCGGATCTGGCTCTCACGGCGCCCGAGCCCGCCGACGGCCCCCGCGGAGGCCGAGCGAGGCAAGACGCCGCCCAGACTGCCAGGACCTCGAGCCTGTCCGCCCTTCCTGCTGGCCCGGACCCGCGCCGGGCCACTTCAGGCCCGCAGGCGGCTCCAACCCGGCCCGAGGAGGCCCGACGAGCACAGTGTCGCGCCCGGCCTGGGGTAAGTTCTCCCTGGACCGGATCTGATAGACCCTCGCGCCCCGCGGCTCTCAGAAAGTGCCCTTCCGCGAGGCGCCATGTCAGCGAGATCCCGCGCAAGGTCACGGCGCAAACCCTGAGTTGGGCCTGTCCCTCTGCAGGAAGAGTCTTCAAACATAGTCAAACAATTGTCAGGGGGTGATTTTTCTACTATGTTCAAACTTTCTTGTTTGCCTTCCAGAATCGTCTGTAACAGGACATGCCCGACCTGTTGCAAACCCTACTTAGGAGGCTTAGGTCTGTGACATTTTTCTCTGGCAGCGAGCGAGAGGGGGAAACGAGAAGGAGAAGGCCTTCTCAGAAGGCGGCAGGACTTCTCAGAGGCCCTCATCGCGCCTTCTGAGAGGCTTTCTGCTTTGGGGGAAGGCTGAGAACAGTTCCCAGAAGGCTTGGGGCTTCCCGAGCCTTCTGAGAAGGCCCGCCCCCTCTTATTTCCCCCCCTCGCTCGTCGCCGATTTCTTTCCTCGCTGGCCAGCGGCTCCGGCCGTCCACGCCCCGGCCGCCGCGGCCAGCTCCGCGCGCCCCTCGGGGCCCAGCTGGAGCGCCCACCACGGGTGCGGCGGGAAGCCGGCGAGGGGCTCGGCGGCGCAGGGCCCCCGGCTGAGGGCGCCGCTGCCGACGAGCAGCTGCCGCATGCCGCCAGTGCCGAAGGCGTCGAGGAAGTGGAGGAGGTAGGGCAAGTGCACCTCGGAGGCTCCCCCTCCCCCTCCTCCTCCTCCCCTCCCTCCTCCTCCTCCTCCTCCTCCTCCTCCTCCTCCTCCTCCTCCTCCTCCTCCTTCCTCCTCCTCCTCCTCCTCCTCCTCCTCCTCCTCCTCCTCCTCCTCCTCACCCTGCCTCTCCTCCTCCTCCTCCGAGGTAGGGCAGGTGCACCTCGAAGGGCTGGAACACCGAAGACATCACCGCGCCCTGCCGCAGAAGGTGGGCCAGCACTGGCACGTGCTGGGGCAGTGTCGCCCATATCTGGATCCGCCGGCCCACACTGGGGGAACACCGGGGCTGCGAGGGTTCGGGCTCAACATCTCAGCATTTTCGTCCTCAGCAGCCTGGCAGCGGTGATTTTCCAGTCACCAGGTCTCGGAACACAGAGAGGCCCAGGTTCTCAGAAGGTGGCAATACAATAATTTCTGAAGGTGCGCGCGACACTTCGAGGCCCAAGAGCGAGCTGCTCGTCTTCCTCGAACCGTGTCCTCAGAACCCTGGGTGCCCTGGCGCACGTAAAACTACAAAGGGTCCACGCTCCCAGGGCCACGACACGTCTTAACAAAATAATGCGTCCGCTCCCCCGGTGCCACCATCCCCCCCCAAACAAATGGATCGGCCCGGCCAGGGCCCTGATCATATTTGCACCAGAAATATCCAGTCGAAGAGCCCACCCATCTGCAGCTGCGAGCGCCGCCGGGCAAGCAAGCAGAAGGAGGGGGACGAGCAGAAGGACAGATTGAGGCGCATGTCCCGGCGCAGGCGATGCTGTGCGAACCCTGCCATTGGGGCCGTCGGTGGAGCTCCCTCTGGGGCCGCAGTCCTCGTGAGGGGCGTGCCGAAATGGGCGGGGGGACGCATGCGGACCTTGATGCTGCGTTCCTCGCGAGGGCTGCGCTGAAATGAAGGGGGAGCGCATGCGGACCTCGATGCTGGGGCCTTCGTTGGAGCTCCATATGAGGCCGCGCTCCTCGCGAGGGCTGCGCTGAAATGGAGGGGGAGCGCATGCGGGCCCGGCCACCGATGCCCTTGGTGGAGCTCCCTATGCGGCCACGTTCCTCGCGAGGGCTGCGCCGAAATGGGCGGTGGGACGCATGCGGACCATACCACGGAATCCTTCGGGGGAGCTCCCTATGGGGCCACAACACTCGTGAGGAGTGCGCCGAAATGGGCGGCGGGACGCATGCGGACCCTGCCACTGCGCCTCGGTTAGAGCTCCCTACCGGGTGGGGTGCGCCGGAATAGGTGGGGGAACGCGTGCGGACCCTGCCACTGCGGCCTTCGGTGGAGCTCCTGATCGGGCCACTGTCCTCGTGAAGGGTGCGCCCACATGGGCGAGAAACGCATTGCTGCTGAGGCCTTCGGGGGAGCTCCCTATGGGGCCACGATCTCTGTGAAGGGTGTGCCGAAATCGGCAGGGGGACCGCATGCGGTACCCCCCTTGGAGGCCTAACTCGGAGCTCCCCATGGGGCCACGAAGCGTGTCAGGGGTGTACAGACATGGGCATGCGGAGGGCAAATGCACGGATCGGAAAAGGGAGGTGGGAGGTGAGGTAGCGTTGGGCGCTCTCTTCAAAGTCAGGACCCAACATCACAGGATGGTTGAAAGCAGCAGATTCACGACTCCGAGAAGTTTACTAAGAACAATATCTGCGCTCCCGAGGCCCCGAATCCTTGTTAAATCATTCGGTTCGCGCTCCCGGAACCAAGATCCGCACGAACAATATGGATCCACGCATTCGAGGCTACAATCCACCGTGCACCAGCGTTCCCGGGGCAACGATCCCATTGAACAAACCATGGGCCCGCGCTCCCAAGCCAAAACCCCTTCGAGAACGAGCTCCTGGAGGAACTCCGGATCTCCCTCGAGGGCGGGTTCCTGAGGAAATCGTTCTGGGAACAAGCTCCTGGGTGAACCATGTCGAAAAAGAGCTGAACGATCTATCGGCGGAAAACCGTCGATCACGAGCTCCCGAACCAATTCTGAAATTCCCTCGGTTCCTGGGCGCCGCCTGGGTTCCCACGCGTTCCCATGTGCGCCCGCAACCCCCCAGACGATCTCAAGCGTTCCCAAACACTCCCGGATACTTTCAAGCGTCCTCCGAATACCGAGCCTTCCCGAACGCTTGCGGGCGGTCCCTGGCACTCCAATGAGCTCCCAAGCGTTTCCTGGGATCCCAAGCGCTTCCGAACGCTTGCGTTATGCATGCAAACCCAACTCTGCGCGCGCGCGAACGAACACCATCCGCCAGGAAACACGCTTTCCCTTCCCAGCGAAGCCGCCAAAACAACAACCAGCCGTCTGTCTGGCTCGCCAGCCAACCAACCAACCGACGAGCTGAGAAACCTGGCGACCGCCCATCTAGGGCAGCCAACCAACCTGCCAACTTGCCCGCGTGCCGACCGATCAACCAATCAACCAGCCTTACGACACCCTGGAGTTGGCAAGCGGTTGACAACGTGTATTTCTTGAACTGTGCAAGGCGTAAAGACTGTGATGTCGGCGAAAGCACGCACTTATCGCAAATGTGAAAACCTGGAACGCGGACAAAAAAACAAATCGCGACATCAGATGCGACCGTACTCAGACATGCGCGTGCAGCGAAAGGCTAAACAACACGAAGCACGAATGTGACTTCAGCGAAAAGTGGATGTAAACATTCGCTAACGAGGCACATTGGCGACGATAACAAAAGATGTTGCGCGAGATGGCGCGGCGACCTGACGCGGTGGCTTACGCTGGCCGCCAGCGCGGCATGCCACAATCGAGACGAGGGCGCTTGCGTGCGAACTTACGCGGGCAGCATGCGCGCCAATGTCGGAACGATCATTTGTTTGCGTCGCTCAAATGTGAAAATTAGGTGGGGCTTGTTCCTCCACAGGCACATTCATTTTGGAAGGAATATTACAATGAAATAACATATGACAAAAACATGGCCCCCATACATTTTTTGGGGGGTATTTTTGAATTTTCCCCCTGCAGAAGGACACGCCCGACTTAATGTTAAGATCCACAGCAAACCGCCGCAGTGGCGCGAACGGCGGCCCCTAAAATTGTGCAAGTCCCACGGGGTCAGGCGCAAATCTATTCCAGCGCGTCGTTTTCATGATGATGCCTCCCCCTTCTCCCCCCCTCCTCCTCCGCCTGCCCCCCCCGCCCCCCCCCCTCCCTCGTCGCCCGATCTCCCTCCTCCCAGCGCCGTGCTGGCCAGCCCCCCCCCCGCGCCTTGGGGGAACCCGGACGCCCCCCCGCGCAGCGGGAAGAAAGCGCGAGTCCTGGGTCGCGCGGCCCCGGCCAGCCAGCAAATCCACATCGAGGCGCTGGCGCCTGGCAGCCATTTTTAAGGCTCAAGGCAAAAGGCGCCTGGTCGCCGCGGACACGCGCGCGCGCTGGAAGACGCGCGCCCCCCGCCGGCAAGAAATCCATGCCAAGACGCTGGTGCTCGTGCCGCGTGAATTCTGACTCCAGGCAGAAGGCCCGCCTGAGAATGCGCGAGCTGTCTCCCGGGGAACCTCGCCGGGCGAGCCCGAGCCTGCGGGCCGCCCACTTCGAGGCGCTGGCGCCGGGGATCAATTCCTTATTGGATTGGCGCGATGTTGCTAAAGGGTATCTGATCTGACCTAGCGTCGAAATAACGTTGCAAGCGCCGTGGGAGGCTGTGAGAGGTCAGCCCGGGATGCGCGGATCAATCTAACCTCGCTGAACCCTCTTCGGCTTCTCCATCCCATATTCACGCTAGGTTAGGCCACGTATACGTAAACCGCCTTCACGTCTACAATAAAATTGCAATCCTCTGCACAAGCCCCGCGGCAGGCCAGGTGGATAGTTCTCGGCCGGATGTCCGCCGGCTGCGACAGAGGGCGCGGCAGCCGAACGACGAACGCCCGGCCCCCGGGAAAACGCGCGCGCGCAGAAGCCCGCCCCAATCCAGCCGGCAATCCGCCTCAAGACGCCGGTGCCTGGGGTGCATGAAGTGCGCGGCTTCGGCCAAAAGTCCGCTCGCTGAGAGAACGCGCGCGAATTTCAAGACCTGACCCAAGCCGACCAGCAATCCGCGTCCAGGTGCCGGCGCCTGGGGCGCACGAAATAAACGGATCGAAACAGGATGCGCGCCAACCTGCAGTTCACTTCAAGATGCAGGCGTCGCTGCGCCGCCCGCTGGCACTGCGGCCTTTGGCGCATGCATCCGCAGGGCGCGGTGATGATTCTGCGGCACCTCCTGCGAAGATCCGCCTGCGGCTCAAATCCGCCGAAACCGTGTTTTTCGTCGACTGCGCCTGGATGCGCGCAGAATTGCCGCGCCGACGGGTAGGTTCCCCAGCCTTCGTCGCTGCGTCTCCGTCATCATCGACGGTGCCCGCCGCGGCGCAAAATTCTGCATTCGAGCGCAGCCTGCGCAGCCTGCGCAGCGCAGACTACGCATCGGGGCGTCATCGTCGTCGTCGTGTTCGTCGTCGTCGTCTTCGTCAACGTCGTCGTCGTCGTAGTGATCGTCGTCGTCATGATCGTCGTCGTCGTCGTCGTCGTGGTCGTGGTGGTGGTCGTCGACGTCGTCGTCGTCGTTGTCGTCGCTGTAGTCGAAGCCGCGAGGGGTCGGTGTCGGAGTCGTTGGAATCGTCGTCGTCGTCGGCGTCTTGGTCGTCGTCGAAAGGTTAGTTGGCCCCGCGCCCGTTCCACAATGATTTTCCTGCATCATCTCCGATCTCGGCCCTTTCCCTGTCTTGCGCCAGCTCGCCGCCCTTCCTGAGGCCGTCTACGACCACCTCCTTGTCCTTCTGGTCCTTCCGCCCCTCGCAAGCCTCATCTCTGGCCCTCGATTGCCCCGTGCATCGCCGCGCACCCTCTGGCCAAGCTGGGGCAAATGACGCGACTGCCCCTCGAGGGAGGGACCTGTGGGCGAAGGGCCAGAGCAGGAACTGGACGCGCGCGCGCGGCGCTGCTTCGCGGGGGCATCCACAAACCGAAGATGTTGCAAAGCCTTGTTCTTCTTCTCCAGTTCCTCCCTCATCATTATCCCTGTTCCTCTTCCTATCCTCCTTCTCCACTTTCCTCATCCGCCTTCTCTTCCTCCCCCTCCCCCGCTTGTTCATCCGCCCTCTCGCCCCCGTCCTCCTACTCTTCCTCCTCCTCCTCCTCCTCCTCCTCCTCCTCATCATCATCATCATCAATCTCCTTCTCCTCCCGCCCTTGCGCCCGCTGCAGCCTCTGCCGGCAGCGGCCTCCGCCTCCGCGGCCGACGACGACGACGACGACGACGACG